AAGGGCCCTGCCCAACAACAGGCCCCTGAATCCAGAGCTGGAAAGCAGGCAGCACCTGAGTCAGGTTCTGACATCCTCCCAGGAGTCTTGTAAGGGTGATGTTGTTTTTTTTTTTTTCTTTTTTATTTTTTTTCTATCAAAACCAGTTTTATTCTACTACATATTAATAAATGTAGGAATACACTTATTCAGTGCATTTTAATAAAATGATACATAAGTTTTGTTTTTAAAATTAAATAATATATAACACCCCTCTGTATAGAGACACTCAGTGCCAACACCTACAGGTCTCTGGATACAAGCACTCTTTCAGGGGTGGGTTGATTGAGGCTCTGAACTCTGAGCCACACCATCAGCCCTGTTTTATGTATTTTTAAAATTAGAGACAGGATATCACTGGGTGACTTAGTGCCTCACATCTGCTGAGGCTGACTTTGAACTCAAGATCCTCCTGCCTGAACTCAAGATCCTGAGCTGCTGGGATTATAAGCATGTGCCTCCGGGCCCAGCCCAATGACATTCTTTTTATATAGTTATTGCTTATTTCCTTTTTCTTCTTTTTTTAATTTTTAATTCTAATTTCCTATATATGACAGCAGAATGCATTACAATTCATATTACACATATAGAGCACAATTTTTGATATCTCTGCTTGTCCACAAAGTCTATTCACACCATTGATGTCTTCATAAATGTACTTAGGATACGGAAGTCCATCTCATTCCACCATCTCTTTTACACTTCTAGCCCCTTTCCTTCCCCTCCCTCCCTTTGCCCTATCTAGAGTTTGTCTAATCCTCCCATGCTCCCCCACCCTAACCCACTATGAATCAGCCTCCTTATATCAGAGAAAACATTTGGCCTTTGGATGTTGGGGATTAACTAATGTGCAAATGTCATGATTTTATTGTCTTTTATTGGTGAATAATATTCCATTGTGTATATATACCACATTCTTTATCCATTCATCTACTGATAGGCATGTAGGTTGGTTCCACAGTTTAGCTATTGTGAATTGTGCTGCTATACACATTGATGTGGCTGTGTCCCTGTAGTATGCTGTTTTTAAGTCCTTTGGGTATAGATCAAGGAGTGGGATAACTGGGTCAAATGGTGGTTCTATTCCAAGTTTTCCAAGGATTCTCCGTACTGCTTTCCATATTGTCTGCACCAATTTGCAGTCCTACCAGCAGTGTGTGAATGTTCCTTTTTCCCCACATCCTGGCCAACATTTATTGTTGTTTGAATTGTTAATAGCTGACATTCTGACTAGATTAAGATGAAATCTTAAGAGTAGTTTTGATTCGCGTTTCAATCAAAATTTGATTTTTTCATGTTTGTTGATTGATTGTATATCACCTAAATGTCTGTTCCGTTCCTTGGCCCATTTATTGATTAGGTTATTTGTCATTTTGGTATTTAGCTTTTTGAGTTCTTTATATACCCTAGAGATTGGTGCTCTATGTGATGTGCAAGTGGTAAAAATTTGCTCCCAAGCTGTGAGCTCTCTATTCACCTCACTGATTGTTTCTTTTGCTGAGAAGAAGCTTTTTAGTTTGAATCCATCCCATTTGTTAATTCTTGATTTTAATTAATTCTTGTGCTATAAGAGTCTTATTAAGGAATTAGGGGCCTAAATCTGATATGATGGAGATGTGGGCCTACTTTTTCTTCTATTAGACGCAGGGTCTCTGGTTAAATCCAGACCTTGATGCACTTTGAGTTGTGTATTTTGCATGGTGGGAATAGGGGTTCAATTTTTTTTTTTTGCATATGGATTTCCAGTTTTGCCAGCACCAATTGTTGAGGATTTATTTTTCTTCAATGTACATTTTTGGTGCCTTTGTCTAATATAAGTTAACTGTATTTATGTGAGTTAGTCTCTGTGTCCTCTATTCGGTACCATTGGTCTGTCTACCAGTCTATTTTGGTGCCAATACCATGCTGGTTTTGTTACTATTGCTCTCTAGTATAGTTTAAGATCTAGTATAGTGATGCCACCTGCTTCACTCTTCTTGCTAAGGATTGCTTTAGCTATTCTGGGTCTATATTTTTCCAGATAAATTTGTTGACTGCTTTTTCTATTTCTATGAGGAATGTCATTGGGATTTTGATTGGAATTTCATTAAATCTGTATAATGCTTTGGTAGAATGGTCATTCTGACAATATTAATTCTGCCTATCCAAGACAAGGAGAACTTTCCATCTTCTAAGGTCTTCTTGAATTTCTTTCTTTAGATTTCTGCAGTTTTTGCTGTGGAGGCCTTTTACATCTTTTGTTATGTTGATTCCCAAGTAGTTTATTTTATTTTTTGAGGATATTGTAAATGGTATAGTTTTGCTCATTTTCTTTTCAGAGGATCTGTCACTGATGTACAGAAATGCCTTTATTTATGGGTGTTAAATTTGTGTCCTGCTACTTTGCTGAATTCATGTACTAGTTCTAGAAGTTTTCTGGTGGAATTTTTTGGGTCTTCTAGGTATAGAATCATATCATCAGCAAAAGTGCTAATTTGAGTTCTTTTTTCCTATCCATATTCATTTAATTTTTTTCATCTATCTAATTGCTCTGGCCAGTGTTTCAAGAATTATATTAAATAGAAGTGATGAAAGAGGGCATCCCTGTCTTGTTCCAGTTTTTAGAAGGAATGCTTTCAGTTTTTCTGCATTTAGAATGATGTTGGCCTAGGGCTTAGCATAGATAGCTTTTTCAGTGTTGAGATATGTTCCTGTTATCCCTAGATTTTCTAGTGTTTTGAACATGAAGGGTGTAGTATTTTATCAAATGCTTTTTCTGCATCTATTGAGATGATCCTATGGTTCTTCTCTTTAAGTCTATTGATGTGATGAATTACATTTACTGATTTCCGTTTGTTAATCCAACCTTGCATCCCTGGTATCAACCCCACTTGATCGTGGTGCATGATCTTTTTGATGTTTTTGTATTTGATTTGCCAGAATTTTATTGAGAATTTTTGCATCTATATTCATTAGAGATATTGTTTTGAAGTTTTCTTGATGCTGTGTCTTTGGCTGGTTTTGGAATCAGGTTTTGGAATCAAGTTTTGGAATCAGCCTTATAGAATGAGTTTGGAAGTGCTCCCTCATTTTCTATTTCAGAAATAAATTGAACAGTATTGATTAGTTCTTCTTCAAAGGTCTTGTAGAACTCAACTGTGTATCCAATTGGTCCTGGGATTTTCTTGATTGGTAGTATTTTGAGAGCTTCTTCTATTTCATCTGTTGAAATTAATCTATTTTAATTGAGTATAACATCCTGATTCAATTTGTGCAAATCATATGACTCCAGAAGTTTGTTAATGTCTTCGATATATTTTCTATGTTATTGGAATACAAGTTTTCAAAATAATTTCTAATTATATTTGGTATTTCTGTAGTGTCTGTTATGATATTTCCTTTTCCATAATATATATTAGTAATTTGAGCTTTCTCCTTCTCTTTGTTAGTATGGCTAAACGGCTGTCAATTTTATTTATTTTTTTCAATGTACTATCTTTTTGTTTTGGCAATTTTTTCAATTGCTTCTTTTTTTCAATTTCATTAATTTCAGCTCTGATTTTTATTATTTTCTGTCTTCTGCTTTGGGTGTTGATTTGTTATTCTGTTTCTAATACTTTGAGATGTAATGTTAAACTCATTTATTTGTTGACTTTTTCTTCTTT